CTTGACTTTCAAAAAATATCATGAAATAATAACATATTGGAGTTATATGAAGGTTGGGGTTGTCTAGATAAATAGCTTATGGACATAATATTTTAAAATCTTACAATCAGGAACTGAAGTGATGGCTCGGGGTTAAGAGCTGCTCTTCCAGAGGACCTGGGTTTGATTCCCAGTACCACCTACATGGCATTTTACAACTGTTTATAACTCCAGTTCTAGGGAATCTTCTGGTCTTTGTAGGCACTGCATGCACATGATGCACAGTCATTCATGTAGGCAAACACTCATACATGTAAAGTAAATTAATAAAGTTCTTTTAAAAGTTTAAAAATCTTAAGATAAACATGAATGTGGTTATGAAGAAATAGCTCCTTTATTACATGGGGTGTGTGTGTGTGTGTGTGTGTGTGTGTGTGTGCATTTACATGTGGGAATTTATGTGTGGGCGTTTGCATGCATGCATGTATGCAGGCACTATGTAAAGCACTATATACTCAGCCTGTTAAATCATTCTTTAATAAGCGCTTTCATTTCTGTGGTCTAGCAATCAGTAAATGGAAATAACATCTGCTCCGTCTGCCAGAGAAAGCAATAGTAAAAATTATCTTTGAAAAATTAAAAACAAAACAATGAAATGCAAATGCCAAGTAAACTGTAAAGGACTAAACCAACATGAAAGGTACTGCCTCTCTATCACCTACACTGTAGAACCTAACTCCCTCCATCAACTACACTCTGGAGCCTGACTGACTGTCCTCCATCACCTACACTCTAGAACCTAACTGTCCCTCCATCACCTATACTCTACAGCCTGACTGACTATCGTCTATCACCTACACTCTACAGCCTGACTGACTGTCCTCCATCACCTACACTCTACAGCCTGACTGACTATCCTCTATCACCTACACTCTACAGCCTGACTGACTGTCCTCCATCACCTACACTCTACAGCCTGACTGACTGTCCTCAATCACCTACACTCTACAGCCTGACTGACTGTCCTCCATCACCTACACTCTACAGCCTGACTGACTATCCTCCATCACCTACACTCTACAGCCTGACTGACTGTCCTCCATCACCTACACTCTAGAACCTAACTGTCCCTCCATCACCTACACTCTACAGCCTGACTGACTATCCTCGATCACCTACACTCAACAGCCTGACTGACTATCCTCTATCACCTACACTCTACAGCCTGACTGACTGTCCTCCATCACCTACACTCTAGAACCTAACTGTCCCTCCATCACCTACACTCTACAGCCTGACTGACTGTCCTCCATCACCTACACTCTACAGCCTGACTGACT